CCACACAAAGACAAGGGTGTCTATCCTCCAGGGGACCTCAAATGTCTACTCGCACCATCCACCTGGCGACCTGGAGCCAGTGAGAGCCCTGGGCCTGCAGGACGAGAAGGCACAGGGAGCAGCCGGAAGCCCTGGGGCCCTGCTGGCCAGGCCGGGGCAGGACAGAGTCCAGGAGTAAAAGACCAATGGGCTGAAAGCTTCCCCAAACTCTAGGACCCGTAATTAAAATATCTCCACCATGTCCACACACATGGTTAAAAATGTATAATTGAAATAATCAGGTGGTTTACATTTAAGGGGAGGCATCAGCATGGAGTTTAGCATAGTAAAAACAGTATGATTTGTGAGAAGCAATTAGGAATCGTTTGCTCTGTGGGTACAAGTAATTTGTTTGAAGAGCACTGGCCTGGGAGGCAGCTTGCTGGTGCTGGCTGTGGTCGAAGGGCGATATTGACTATCCCATGTGTCACCATGCTGTTGACAGAATCACATCTGAATGCACACAAAAGATCTTTAAAACACTTCAGAAACATGAGCGCCCTTCAAGGGGTGAAGTGAAGTGGGGGTTAGGGGGTGGAAGGCTGCCGGAGGAGACGGTAGCGCCCGGGCGAGCAAAAGGCTGCCCCGTCAGTGCCAGGACAGCTTCCGAGGACAGGGTGGTCCCACCCCCTTGACATACCACCAGTTTTAAGCCACAATATGACTTAAAAGAAAAAAAAACCATAAATACTGCATCAGAAAGAACACAAACTGTTAGCCATTACTTACTGGTTGAGTAACGAGTTCACAAGCCTGAAACTGAATGCATGTCTTTGTGCAGAAAATCATCATTTTTATGCCCCCATCTAGTAAACGCTTCGCAGACCTGACACCAGCCTGTGCGCCGGGCACGCTTGGGCCGTGGGCACGAGCCACTGCCAGCATCTTGTTTAGTTGCTGGGTCAGCTGGGCCGCTGGCAGACAACATGTTGACTCCTGACAATTAGTGATGATGCCTTTAATTGAGCAAAAGAAATCTCTCATTAAAGGAGGGGTGTCCACCACACACTGGGGTGCAAGAAGCCAACAGGAAGAGCCCAGGAGCTGCGCCTCGTGTCCTGCAGGGCCACTCTTGGGCGTGAAGCCACCGCCAACCAGTTTCAGCTCTTTTGTGTAACCAGACACCATTCTGCCAAATGGACGTGTTAGGAACACAGTAACACTCACGTCAGTGCAAGAACGCCTCACACTTGCAAACGTGTCTGTGAAAGCAGTTTTTGCTCGAGCCTAATTTCAGTTAGAAGCATACAAATTCCAATTTATCTTAAAAGAATAACACTGCAATGCTTACATTCTAATTAAAAAATAATTTCTCTTACTGCTCTTAACAATTTGATGTGTTTCTACTGGTGAGATTACGAATGTGAAACTGTTCAATTTGCCTGGACCACGGCGGCTTCCTCAGGTAGGATATTCCAGGGCAATTTTAATTATTATTAAACAAGCAAACGATACGCTATTAGACAAATATTAAAACAAGCGTCGTACTCAGTTATTAATTTGCACCGTTCACTTTTAAATGCAGCAAATATCTCATTAATTTAATTTTAGGTGCCCACTCGTTTATACTGCATTTTACAGTCTAGAAGGCAATTTACTATTAACTGGCAATTACATACAGAGTGATTGTTAATTCTGCTCCTAAGTGCCAGCCGCTTGAAAATTGTTCCCTGTCTCTAATTTTTGACCTTCTTACAACAGGGGTGAGGCTCACTGGGAATACACAGGACTAGTACGGAAGAGCCGGACATGTCATTGTGACTCATTCTTTTAATTCACCGTGCTAATCAACTGAACTGCCACCACCTCCCAAGGTAATTGTGTCTTCAGAGGAGTCGAAGGCAGCAGGCAAAGGGGCCTGGATGGATGTCCTGGCCTGCCTCCCCTTCCAGGGCGGGGGCGGCGGAGAGCGCCCACACCCACCTGGGCCTGTCCTGAAGAATCTGGTGTTTCTCAGAGCACTGTAAACAGACCATCTAGGCCTTTGCCTCTGGCGGGGGCCGGGGCCCTCCTGTCCCCAGGTTCCCCCCAAGCCTGGCTGCCTCACGCCGGGAAGGTTCAGTGTGACAGGGGGCCCTGATGGGAGCCAGATGCCCAGGGGACGGCGCCCTCCCTGCAGGGCTGTGCCGACCTGCTGGCCAGAAGGCCTGGCTCAGTTTTCAGAGGGAGTGCAGCTCCCAGTGATTACTCCATGTCCCCATCAATTTCAGGGCAATGCAAATCAGACAGAAGCTTCCAGGTCAGACAGGTTGTGACCCCACCTTTCCTCTGCTCCCTGAGAGTGTAGGCCCCGTATCCCTTACACGCGTTTGAAATGTATATTCCTGTTAATGATGGGGGTTGGGGGGGGCGTAAATCAGCCTCCCGCAGGAAAGGCCAGGCTCGCTGAATGGCTTCATTGAAACGCCCGTTCACGGGAGAGCCCTTGATGGAGGAGATCCCCACAGCCTTGGGCAGCCAGGACCCTGAGCTTGGGGCCAGAGAGCACAGTCAGCTTGGAGGAGAAGACGGGGGTCGGGACGGGGGTGTCGGCTGGAGCTAACTCTGCAGTACCTGCTTCCCCACGGGGAAGAGACAGAACACTCCAGGTCCCTGGGGACGAGGCCTCTGGCTGAGGAAGGTGTCCTGCCTGGCCCAGGGAGACGGGGCGCAGAGAGCTGCCCATCCTCACGCGGCCCCGGAGCAGCAGGCCCTCTGCCACGAGACACTGCTGACCAGCGACAGGCAGCCCCTCACCCCGCTCCCCTCCAGCCGCACTGCCTCTGCTTGGAGCCCTTTTCTTGCCACTGGGGCCACAGTCCTCGGTGGCCAAGAGTAAAGGAAGGAGAACCAGGCCTTCCTGCAACTGTGTCTTCTCAAGAAGAGTCGCCACTCCCGACAGCAGCCTGCAGACGCTGACACCAAAAGCCCGAGTATCAAGAATCTGATGTCCAGAGGAGCAGCTGGGAGTCCAGAGAGTCTGATGCGGGGACCGGATGCTCTTTCCATTTGGGGCAGAGCCGGTCCATCTCGCCCTACAGACGCCTGACCCAGCCCAGCAACCAAGCATCCCGAGGCAGACACAGAGCCCACACTCAGTGTGGCTCCTGCTGAGGGAAGACACATCCTCTCCTTCAAGGAACCGGATCCGGCAGAAGTCACACCTCAGTGACCACCCCCTGGAGGCAGGGGGTCACACGTGGCACCAAGGGGAAAGCAGGACTCGAGGGGTCAGGAGACCCCACAGCCAACACAGGCAGAGCAGAGCGGGGGCACCCACTGCCTCCCCAGCCTGAATTCATGCCCAGAAACCCAGGTGGGTGCCCAGGGGCCGGTGGTGCCCGTGCAGAGGTGGCCGAGCGCCACAGGGACGCGGCTGCAGCAGAGGGGCAGAGAGCCCCTGGCCCAGGCCCAGGGTGGGAGCCCTGTCTCCCAGCTCCCAGGACCCGGTGATCCTGGCTACGCTTTTCTATGCAGAAGAGCTCTCTTTGTTGAAATGTGCAAAGCGCTTACAGGACGCCCCAACTTCATCACCCCATTCTGCCTGTCTTTATTTATTAACACGTTGAAAGAGAGCAGCTCCACCTACTTGTGAGGCCCCCAGTCCCCAGGTCTCGGCTGGAGGGCTGGAGCACCCGGACACGCTGGGCTCCACCCTCTCCACCTTGGTTCTCGGACAGTTCTGGGCTCCTGAGAGCGCACGCTGGTCCCATGGGAGGAAGCAGCCCCTAGTGTGGGGCAGGGACCTCTCTCTCCCCTGGCTGGTGGGGTTACTGAGGGCTGCCGAGCCAATGGAGGAGGGGGCCTCACTCCATCAAGGACCCCAGGTGTCCCTGGCAGTCCCGGCTGCTTAGGGTCTGGGTGCCTCTGGGGACAGCAAGGACCCAGGTCAGGCACAGCACTGGGGGGGGGGTACTGGGCCTACTGGGGAGTGGGCATTGGAAGAAGCTACATTTTACACTTCACACTTCCTACTAGGGCGGTGGGTGAGCTACCTCGACCTCCTCTCCCAACCCCAAAGTAGAAGGGACCTCGGCTCCACCTTGTCCCCTGCTCACTGGACAGAGAGAGGCCCGCATCCCAGTGGGAGACCAGACCCACCCCAGGCGCCCGCAGTGGTGACCGCAGGTAGTTGGAGCCCACAGCCCTCCGCCCAGGCTGCCGCGTGGGCCTCCCGGACACCCTGACCACGTGAGCACGTGAAGGGCACGCTATTCAAACACCAGCACTGGTCCCCTCCGCCCTCGTGGGGTTCCGGCAGGCGCTATCCCCCCCAGAAGCACTTTTCAGACGTCACAGCTTCTGCAGGGGACCAGGACTCGAGACCACAAGACGGACATGCCTTGTGTTTGTTTATGGCGTTTCTCAAAAGCAAACTCAGGCTAATCACGCTCTCTAAGCAGCCTGTGGGCAAAGCAGTGCAGCAGGCACTGTTTCCAGGTAACAAACATGGAACCTCAGGGGTGGCCCTTTCTGTAGACGTGAGTGTGTCTGAGACCCTTCTTTACGCAGCAGTGTCGGGGTGAGGCCCCAGGTCTGCAGCAGAGACCTGCTCCTCATCTACAGGCTGTGCAACCTCAGCAGACCACCTGAGCTCTGAGATGTCACCAGGCAGGCGTGCAGGGTGACAAAATGGACCTGGGGGGCGGGGCACATAGCAGCTGCCGGATGGAAGGTGGGGGTGCCCGTGGTTACTGACAACCCCACCACCACCTCGCTTTACAGGTGAGAAGAGAAGGTCCATGCATGGGGGGAGGGGCCCCAGGTCACAGGCCCAAAGGGGCTGCACCTGTCCACGGCGTCACGCCAACTGGACAAGGATGTAGAAATGGTGCCCCCGACAAAACCAACCCTGGGGACCACGGGGGCACACCCACCCTCACTGCTGAGCCCGTCCACGGGGCCCCAGGACGCCAACGCGAGGCTCTCATTGGGAGGGGGCATCAACCATTCTGCCAG